ATCAAACACAGCTGGACTCAAATGAAGGTGTAGAACCATCTCTGGGATGATCAGAAGAAATGGACAGCACCTAAGTTAAATATATGAGTGTCACAGCAAAGGGGCTGAATACTTATGACCATGTGATATTTCAGTTTTTCTTTTTTAATAAATCTGCAAAAATGTCAAAAATTCTGTGTTTTTCTGTCAATATGGGGTGCTGTGTGTACATTAATGAGGAAAAAAATGAGCTTAAATGATTTTAGCATATGGCTGCAATATAACAAAGAGTGAAAAATTTAAGGGGGTCTGAATACTTTCCGTACCCACTGTATTTTAATATCATATTGTATGATTTACTTTCATTTTAACCAGTTCACTTGTCTTGAAGCATATTGGAGATATGTGTGGGCTGCAAGACTCAGACAGGAAGCCACAAAACAGGAACTAGACCAGGTCACCCAACATGTTCCATGGGCAAATTTCATTCACAAAAAATGTGCAGAGTCAAAAGAAGAATTTCATACCACAGAGATTCAGATCCTGCTGTTGAAACTCAGCAAGCAAAAACATAGCAGATCTAGCTGTAACTGTTATGAGATCTGATGGAATTAAAACATAATAACAGTATGGCTGCCAGTGTCATCAGAGATGAGCTGTAGCACCACAGAAATAAAGAATGAATGGTTTTATTTTAAGTTAGAGAAAAAACAACATCTTGACCTTGATGGGATGTGGTCAGGGTGACCTGACGGTTATAGAGCTGAATGAGATAATATAGTCAAGTGCAATGGAGTATGTTCCCCTTGACAAACTGGCATAAAGGCCGATTTTAAACACCAAAATATACCAAAAAGTCTTGCAGTCTACAAAATGTTGCCAGATGTGTATTTTGTTTTAGTTGATTTCAGTATCATACTTACAGTAAGCGGGTGGCACAGTGGAGCAGTGGTTAGCACTGATGCCTCACAGCAAGATGTTTCTAGATTCGGGCTTTGCATGTTCTCCCTGTGCCTGCATGGGTTCTCTCCGGGTACTCCAGCTTCCTCTCACAGTCCAAAGACATGCAGCTTAGGTTGACTGATGACTCTAAATTGCCCGTAGGAGTGAGTGTGGGTGTGTGTGTTTGTCTGTCTCTTAGTGTCAGCCCTGTAATAGACTGGCGACTTGTCCAGAGTGTACCTCGCCTCTCGCCCAGTGTCAGCTGGGATAGGCTCCAGCGCCCAACGACCCTCATCAGTATAAGCGATATAGAGAATGGATAGATGGATGATGAAAGGGCATATACTGTAACTCCATGCCTGTATTTGTGAGCAGTGCTGAATTTCACCTGCACTGCAATATTTCATCCGATAGAAGGCTTTTCAGAATAAAACATTGTTAAAAATTGCCGGTTAACTGTTTTAGATCAATTTTATCTGGCTTCCTATTCACTCTGTACATTATATTCTGCTGTATATTCTTTTGTAGTGAATATCTGTGAACCATGCTTAGATCACCAGGTTGTGTTGTCTTGCCTCCCTTTTAGTTAATGGCTGCTATGGGAAACAGTGCAGCGAAGGCCAAATATGAACAGAAGGTTCCTGCTTTCTACTACAGACCAACACACACTGACTGCAAGTAAGTCGGCTTTTTTTAAATCACATTCAACATACAAATACTGGAGGTACTATACAGATATGTATCATATGCTGTATAACAGTGGTCCCCAACCTTTTTTGTACCAGGGACCAGTTTCATGCATGAACATTTTTCCGTGGACCGGGTAGAGGGTTCCAATAACAAAAACCTTTGTCAGTTCATAGTATGTAATCTGAATGCAACAATTACACTTTATATTAGGCAATTACAATAATGCTACACTATAATATCAACTCACCATAATGCAGAGTCAGTGGGAGCCCTGGGCTTGTTGCCCTGCAACTAGATGGTCCCATCTGGGGGTGATGGGAGACAGTGACAGTCGAATTGTGTTCTGTATATCCAGCCTACTCCGTAACTAAGAATGATGCTTTCAACGCAGACACATTTATTGACTTGGTAACCCTCAATAACTGTTTTTGTCCTTCATGTTTACAGCAAGAAGGTTCACGGCCAATCTGGTGCCTTTCTGTCCAGAGTTTGCATGTTCTCCCTGTGCCTGTGTGGGTTCTCTCTGGGTATTCTGGCTTCCTCTCACAGTCCAAAGACATGCAGCTTAGGTTGATTGGTGACTCTAAATTGCCCGTAGGAGTGAGTGTGGGTGTGTGTGGTTGTTAGTCTCTAAGTGTCAGCCCTGTAATAGACTGGCGACCTGTCCAGGGTGGACCTTGCCTCTCGCCCAATGTCAGCTGGGATAGGCTCCAGCCCCCAACGACCCTCTTCAGGATAAGCGGTATAAATCATGGATGGATGAACTTAGCCCATTTAACTTAGCCACAATGTAATGCTAGGCAGCTAACATGGCTAACAGTGTCCTGTATTACAAGTTGAATGGAAGAAACAGATTAAGTGTTTGCGATAGAAACTTTGATGAACAGTCAGAATGTACCAGAATGTGTGAAACATTTTTAGCATTAGTGTAACATCACAGAACCTTGTGTACACATATTACTGGTGTTTGTCTAATAGACAACAATGCCCAGGTGTGACAGCGAGAGTGGTGTGACAGTAGCAGGGATCAAATGGCTGTGCCCTACTTTCAGATTTTATACCAACTGAACAGGTCTAAACAGTTTTTGATTGTGTTAGTTACAGTAAATATCTCTAAAAATAACCAGAGGTAAAACTGGTTTGGTTGCCCAGGCACAGTGGGAAATAATAAAGCAGATGCAAGTCTGACAGGTTCCAACGGCAACAACAAACTGCCACAAAGGTGCTAACACTACCATGCAGACTACCTCTGCTCCTGGAAGACATTAGAGCAGGTCAGGGCCCTGCCTAAAAGATATATATGTATTACAACAAATCAATTGGCAAACCGAATCTAACCTTGAACAGACAGCTGATGCTGCTTGTGAATAGCACAATGACACTGTTTGAGTGTTTTTGAGTCAAGTTAATTCTAAACCACACCTCCATTCTCATTACATTGATTGAACTCCAGGTTTGCTAACACCTGACTTCAGGAGCCTCATGTTGCCATTACTTTTCCCACTATCACTGTGTACTGTATGTTCAATGGGTGTGTTCAATAAAGATCCTGACTGTGTTTCTTCAGCTTAGAAATGGTGGGTTTGTTGACATTTCTGACTTTGGTGAAGATCAGATCACACTTCATGACTAATTTATGCAGAAAACCAAGAAGCTGTTTATATCTGTGTATATGTGTAGTGCATATATCTATGGACGATGATTAGCAAGTGTCTGAAATCTAAATTTACTGCTGAGTGAACTATTGAATGTACATTAGGGATAAGCAATGAGTAAATAAGAAACTGATTTTGGACACAGCTTGAATATAATTATGTGTAGATTCATCAATACATATTCTGTTCACAGTACATATAGTCATTTGATTTGTTCTTAATTTAAAATTCATTGATTAATTGATTGATTGCAGCTTTAAACCTAATTTTTTAATGTAATATTTGCTGTTGTTGAGCTCCAGTCCTCTATCCACACTACATGTAAGGGAATGTGATAAGAAAATGCTGAATGCAGAGGCAGTAATGTGACCAACACAGGGCTGGGCGATTCTTTTGATTAATTCGAATTTACGTTTTAAGGCGATTTTTTTTTCTTAAATCGAGGTATTGCGATTTTTAATTATAATAAAAAATAGATACATTGTCATTGCACCAATGGCAGAATAATTAAAAGGCAATATTGTCTGACCACATGATGGCGCGCCTAATTAACCGCTTACGTGTGAGAGCACTCTATGAAGGAACGTAATAG